TCAAAACCCCGTCACCCAGAGATGGTTCAGACTTTTAGCTGCCCAGAGCTCCTCCATGGCTGTTTGACATGACTACTGGCGGCAGGCAGTAGGCGGGGCTGATTTACAGACCGTACTTTGACAACACAGGGTGGAGAAGCTGGAATAACAGCAGGAGGCTGTAGGCAGCAGAGTGCTGGTTAGTACTGCACATAGGGAACGCCAGATATTTTAAAATAATAGAAATTCCGTCTAGCAGGCACAATAAGGTATTATTTTAACATACATTGAGCATACAGTAGTTTTGTTTGTCTGAAAATTTTAACCAGCTGATTTTAAGGAACTTAACTTTAGTTAAATCAAAAGCATAGATTAATACAGGATGGGCCGCCTCCAAAACAATCCACTTGCTCATCCATGATATCGCTGGAGGCAATAACCCTAACCCCAGTTTTATTCATGGACAATACACAGAACTTTGGTAAGTCTGAGCAGAAGCTTTGTCTCGTCTGCCCCAGGTGTGGACACATTTATTACAGTGAGGTGCTGAGTGGTGCTGAGTGGGGGAGGTTTTAAATGACCAGCTGCAGCCAGAGGAAGGGTGGAGGCGAGAAAAGCCTAAAATATCCTGGAAACAACAGAGAGACAGTGCTGCTATGAGAGAGCAGAGCTGGAAAGTAAAACAAAGAGTTGCAAAGTGACTCAACTGCTGAGAAACCACGAGAGCTGAGTGTCACCGAGGTTACAAATATTTTTCTAAAGAAGGTAATTTAATGAACAGTCACTCAGTGTAGAGCTGCAGAACACCTGGACCAGGGTAACATTAATTTCACCTGAAAACTAAGCAAACTCTCAGCACAGATTTACCATTTTACCATGTTGCTTACAAAAAAAGGTATATATAAAATAAAAAGCAGGGGTTGCTTCAGAGCCATAGTATTTTTTACTGTGAAATGAATCTTAGAGCATCACGGCTGCATGCAAAGGTGAAGACAAAGGCACAATTTTGAACAACAAAGATGAAACAGGAGAGAGAGCAGAGGGAAACATCAGAAAGAAGTCCAGAAACACCAGAGGTCAGTCAGAGGCTGAACCCAGCAACAGCACACACACAAAGTCAGTGTGTCATTATCACCCAGGTAAGGCTGGTTTTATTTCAGTGTTGTGTCAGCAGGTACATCCAATCAGTGCCTGTGTAGGGTCACAGTCACCTGGTGATATCGGTATGTACACCTGTCACACAATATTGTTATTTTCCATAGTCTGAGCAGAACACTAGTGACCTGAGGATGGAGCCTGTGAGAACTCTGCATCATACTTCTTGGATTGTTTAACTGAATTAAATGTTAAATTAATGGTCAGTACAAAGCCTGTCCTTCAGGTACAGTACAAACTGTGACAGAAAACCGACTGGTCCAGTCTATCCAGAAATATGCTGTGTTGAATGCACATGTGAGATCTAATAATACTGACACTTTTCCGCTGACTATGTTTAATTTGTTGTGTTCTAAGAGCTCAGTCTAAGTGTTGTGATGTGCTGGACGTGCACTAGTCTCAGACTGTGTCTGTCTGCTGTGACCATGTTCTGTCGAGTCAGACTCAACCAGAGAGGGAAATGTTCTAAAAAACCCAAACTTGGTGCTAAAAGAGGCTAAAAAGCATTAAAACATCCATAATATGTACCTGTGACAGCCTGTTTGGAGGCGGAGGACTGCAGACCGACAGCCTTGGTTACCACGGTGATGGTGTACCGGGTGCCCGGCCGCAGGCTGCTCAGCTTGGTGGAGGTCACATCGTTCTGCAGACTGACATTCTTCATCAGAACTCCGTCCTGGTCCGTCAGCAGAACCCCAACCTGTTCAGCTCTGCCCAGACCCGCCTGCCAGGACACACTGAGGCTGTCTGAGGATGAGGAGGCCACCTGCAGGTCATGGACAGGGGAGGGGGCTGGAGAGGGGAGTCGAGGGGAGGAAGGATTCACACTTTACTAAAGTACTAATTACAGAAATTACATAACAAGTAAAAGTCCTGCACTGAAATAGTTATTTATATGACCAAAAAGCATTATCAGAGAAATGCGGTATATACTGTACATACTAAGTACTCAGTGAAAATACTACTATACAAGTATAGGTTGTTCATCCTGATGCATTAATGTGTAAAAAGGCATTTAACAGATTGCAGCTCATTATTAATTGTTTTATATCAGGCGACAAAAAATGATTGTTTTCATCATGAACTCATCGGCTGATTACTTAGTCAATTAACTGATCGACTGTTGGTTTGCGAAACGTCAAAAATTAGTGAGACATTGCCCAGAGCCAGGTGACATCTTCACGTTACTCATTATCGTTTACAGGGAAAAACAGCAAACTGTCCCATTAGAGAAGCTGGAACCTTAAAACATTTGGTATTTTTACATGAAAACTAACTTGATTATCAACACTGCTGACAGCTGCAGATACTGCTCAGACAGTTACTTTATGCTAAAACCTTTTTTATAAACTCATCATATGTTTTGTTTGTAATTTTTTAGACTGCTCCATCTGCCAATACAGTCGCAAGGAAAAACTAACGGCACCGTTTGCAACTTCCTGGTTTTCTCCATAAACTGGTCATGAAATGTGACAAATAGCAACAAACATAATATTTCTAAGCTGATAAAACACAAATAGTCCTGATCTTTCATGTCTTTATTGAACACACCTGTTAAAGATCTGATCACATTTCAAGACCAATTTATGGAGAAAACCAGGAAAATGCAAACGATGTGTACTTATTGTCTAAATAGCCAGGCTGGTCTCCACAGACGGAGGAGGAGTTAGAGCTGCTGCGTCTCACCTGTAGCTGCTGTGGCGTGGACAGGTGCAGCGCTCTTGTTCCCAGCTCTGGCCACCACGCTGACGGTATACAGAGTGCCAGGGAGCAGGGAGCTGAACCCAGACTGGGGCGCTGCAGAGCCCATGACTCTGGTGCTGGAGATGAACCTGGAGCTGGCGTCCTTCAGAGTCAGATCATACCAATCCACGTGACCAGCAGCACGAGACCAGAACACTGTCAGACCCGGTAAAGCACTCTGAGCTGTAGACAGGCTTTTATACTGAGCCGGATCCAGCTGGATGTCCAGTTGAGCCGGGCTGACCGGGTCTGAGAGAGGAGACGGGGAACGGGAAGGGGATCAGACTGAGTGTGGTGGTCCATATGGTTCTGAAGGATCCACATTTTTAAGATTCATATCATCATAGTGTGACACTCAACTCATATCTGAACAAAAACCTAATTTAGACATGAATCACTAGTAAAAATGATCATAACTTGCAGGCTTATAAGACCATGGCTCATTTTATTCATCCATAAGAATCATGGAAACTAGAAACCACCCCATTCAAATCAGGCAACACTGGTGATAAACTATGAATATCCACACAATGAAACCATGAAACCATTACAGTAACATATAAAAGTAATGTTCTACTCTAAAATTTCATTGCTTGTGTATTTCAGATGAAGGTGTTACATATTTATCTAGTCAGTTAACAGCAGCCAACATGTTTCCATAAAGTCAAAGGAACATTACTGACGTTTCCAGCTGCTCAGACCTTAACTTACTGCTGAGCAGCTCAGACCTGCTCTACACGTCATGTAGTGTTAACTGATGGACGCGCAGTGCTCTGAGATGAAAGACGTTTCTAAGACTCTCCCTCCATCTCTGAATGCCTGGACGTGCACTGTTTGGTGTCTGCGAGTAAGACCATGAAGCCCTGACTGAGCGTATCCTGTGTTTGTGCGGCAGCACTGATGGACGGGCTCGATACCATTGTTTTAGCTGCTTCAAGAATGCGCCTTTTCATCATGCCAGTGTGAGGCCGCACAGGAAACAGAAAAGAACAAACAGGGCGGGGCAGGACGAGGACCGGAAGAGCCCCCCCAGACACAAAACATCCAGCTCAGTCCTGAACTCTGACCTGTTCTTAATAATGGTTTCCTCCCTGAGGAGACTCCACTGCTTCCTGTTGGCAGAGCCCTGACACCCCAAGGACGACATGTGCAACTAGGCACAGACCCAACAGAACATACACGGTCAGTGATCTCACCTGCACACGCAGGTCAAAGGCAACCAAGTGCATTTACTCAAGTACTGTTCTGAGGTATCTGTACTTTACCTGAGTATTTCCATATCCTGCTACTTCATACTGTGACTTCACCACGTGTCAGAGACAAACCTTGTGCTTTTACTGCACTATGTGTACCTAATAACTTCAGTTCCTTTTCAGAATCAATTAATCAAACGAAATACAGTAGAATCATAAGACATGTCTCTGATACTGGATCATAGTGACTAATTACTGTGTCCACCACTTTAATGCTGCAGCTGGTAAAGGTGGAGCTGATGGTAACTACCTTATATACTTATACTGTGAAGTACTTTACATCCTGCTGGGTAGCTGGTGGATTTCCCACTGGGATCAACAGAGTCTGATGATTCTACTGGGTTTGGTTTGATTCATCTGATTCTGGGAAGGAACTGACGTTATCAGGTACATGTAGTACAGTAAAAAGTACACGGTTTGTCTCTGACATGGAGTCACAGTATGAAGGAGCAGGACATGGAAGTACTCAAAGTACAGATACATCTGATTTGTTCTTTAAGTAATGAAGTACTGTCCTCTCAGATTACTCAGTGAGGGCCTCTGGTATCCGCTGCTACAGAAACAATGTGCGGAGGGAAGTGGCTTGGGGGGGGGTGTTCTGGAAACAACTACTTGAGATGAGATGAAGACCATTGTTAGAGAGCTCTGGTGAGCTCCAAGTGTTTCAGATCAGGACGCTCAGTTGGCAGCAGTTCAAGCTGTGGCCTCGCACGTAGAGAGGATGTGGAGTTTAATGAGGCAGGATGGGAGAGAAACTCTGTCCAGCCACGGCCACCGACCAGCATCAGTACACAGCTGCTTCGGTAGCTTCTCACCTCAAAGGGCTTCTTTAAGGTCAGGCTTTATAGTCTGATATGTAACAGCACATGTGCACGTGTTGTGTTTCATGCTGCACTGGATCTGTTTTTGATCCTTTGTTCATCATCAGGGGAATATCTGAACAGGTTTGTTCTGTTTCTTTATGACCGTATCAGAGTAAATGGATTAATAATGTGCACACTGTGCTCTATAATGGTACAGAATCTCCACAGTCACATGCACAAGCATGTGCATGCAGTGACCAGGGAGCCTATGTTGTTGTGCACCTGGGAGCATGGTGTCCTATGTCCCAGTAAGTAGAAAAGGAACAGACTGGATTTGGTGAAGATGAAATTCACCAGCTTGTCATGTCTGTGTTGGACCAGTTTAGTTCCACTTACCTCAGCATGATGGGAACACTGGGAAATTTTAACCATGAATAACCTATGGATTTTTATCTTCCGTTTTTGTTCCTTCTGTTCATAATCATGAAATAAATCATTGACCATAAACCTATATATGCATTTGCTATAATAGCCACATTGATGTGTGGATTGAAACAGCAGCACGTTCTGAACTGAGGAGCAGCTCACAGCTGATCTCCACTTATTATTCTTTATTAGTTTTAGAACGAGCACTTTTGCAAACTTGAGCCTCAATTTAAACCCAAACTTCCTTAAGACCCCTTGAATTTCATTTTAACGACTCTGTCCGTGCACATGAAGCTGCCGTGAACATGCAGATCTCACCTGTGCGCACTGATGCATTGCTCCTCTCTCCGTCCTTCCTGGAAACCACCGTTAACCGGTACAAAGTCCCGGGTTCCAGACCCGTGACGTTACAGATGAAGGCGGTCTCGGTCTCTCCATACGGGTCGCAGTCGGTGGAATGAGCCCGGGAGTTCTGCTCGGTAACCAGGCTGAAGTTACAGGACCGACCGCCGGTGGTGAACGTGACTGCAGCGGAGCGTGGCCCGGAGCTGATCTGGGTCAGGTTCACCGAGCAGCAGGAAACAGCAGAGGTCTGAACCTGAAACAGGAAGTCACATCAGGACAGCACCGACCAGAATGCAGCCAACAAAATAAAGGTAAGTACGTAAACAAATAATGAAAACCAATAAAGAAACGATGGAAAACAACACCCATCGCGCCAGCTCCTCTGCAGCAGCGGTCACTGAGCTCAGGTCAGTTTATACGGTATACATGCTTGTTTTATCACCAGCTAAACACATATACAAACAATACACTCCAAACTGAGCTGCCTCCTTACTGCTGACCTCCCGGTTTTGATCCACACCTCCCCAGTCTGCACACACCGTCTCTGCTCAACGTGTCAGACACGGGATCAGTGTTACTGCGTCAGATATGCATCAACTTCACATTTTAACACAGCATCGCAAACAGCTTTTACATTTCAGAAGAGAGTGAAATTGTGTTTATGATTAGAAACAACAACCAGGGCTACTGTACACCTGAACGTCATGTGCACATAATACCTGTTGAGATGTTTCATAACTCAGTGGATCGTCCAGAGGTTGGAGATTTGTTTACAATTAGAAAAACTCACTGCTAAACGATCTCGGCTCCAAACCCGAGGCAGCTCACACGGAATCACGGGAGATCAGTAGGTCTGTGTCTGAGGATGTGAATAGTGAATAAAGGTACCTGTGTGAGCTGCTCTGCGTAAAATTGCGCAAGGAAAAAAATGGAGATTGTCTGTTTCTACTGCACAGGTGTGTAGAAGAACGTAACTGGTCAGCAGCTTTTTATTTTGCTTGCAGCTACGTTCAAAATCATGTGTAAAATGTGTCCGAATTATCACAAAACTCAACTGTTTATTTATTTTGGAGAGATGCGATGCGAGTGTGCGTCTCAGCCAGAAACTAGGCTGGTTCTTGCAAGTGAACACAATAAGGACATAAAACCTTCACAGTTTGCATGTTCAAATTATTTTTTCAGCGCCCTGCTGGCCTGACTTGCCAAAATCCTAATCTGCCCGTGTTGTCGATCCTGATGGAGTCAAACATTTTAAAAAACAGACACAGATCCGTTAACTCACCGCATTCACGCCCCAAATTAAACCAAGTATCAAACATCTCGTGGCGCATCTGAGCATTGCGGCCGCTGATACAAATCCGTCCGTTCAATTAGCAAAACAGAAACAGGGCATGCTCCCAGATGAGTTGACATAACGAGGGTGTGAGGTTAGAAAAATGTGTCAGCGCTTCACTAATTATCCTCTACACGGGTTTGGCACGTCGTGCGTAAAAGTGTCTCCAAAACGTGCCAGACCAGACTTCGTCCACATCTACATCCTCATCCTCACAACGTGCAGCTGATGGAGTTTCATCTAAACGAGGAGCGGACTGTGTTTTGTGGCAGACTAAAAATAATCTGGAACTTCTTTTTCCGGCGTCCTCCTTCTACTCGGAGACTTGTCGTCAGTTTTATCAAGCAGTCCGGGCTCGTTTCTCTTTCAGGGACCCATCCATCTTTAAACTTTCACTGGGCTGTGAACAGAAACAGGCTCTCTGCAGACCGACACCCCACCCTGCTTTCCTTCCTGCCGGTCTCTGACTTTCTCTGACGACCTTTAGCATCAAACCAAGTTCCATCAGTCTGAGCAGAATCAGCCATTGTTACGGTTGAATAAGAGTTATCCAATCAGGAAGCAGCCTCACACCCAGCGCCAGAAACCTGCTCTAATAATAGGGAACTTCACATTTCAACAGCAAAGAACCTTGTCAGAGGAGCAGCTTAATCACTGACAATCTAACAATTTCTATCTTCAGTCAGGATGTGAATGTTCAAGCTCAGACTTCCACACTACTAAAGCTCATGTGAGTGGGGCATTACTAGGGTCTCTGCCTTTCTCATGGACGCACACAGTCCCTGAGGGGTTCAAACCAGTGAGAGCTGCTTTGACATCAAGCTCATCTCAGGCCTGAACAACAAAAACATTACAGTATGTAGAGTAAAGATTATTTGAAAATTATCCCTAAATTCATCAGCAACACGTTCATTAAATTACTCATTGAGACTAAGCGACTGTATCTCCACCTCCAGCAGCTACACCATGCTCCTCCATGTGCAGTGTGTCCCCCTGCTGAGCCTCAGCCCAGTGCTACCTGTCTGTCTGTTCTCTATTGCTACTTGAGGTACTGAAATTTGTTTATCAAGATATGTGTGTGGTGTTTGTTTCTCATGGTGTTATGTTGTTTGTTCTCAATTGCTGCTGAAACACTGAAATTTCCCCAATGAGGAATCAATAAACTACCTACCTACCTACCTACCTACCTACCTACCTACCTACCTCCCTCCCTCTGTGTTGGCTCTGGGTTTGGTCTCCACCACCTCCTGAGGGAAACCTCTGGCTCTGGAGCTGCCAAATGCTCCACTCTGTTCCCCAGCCGGTCTCTGACCAGTTCTGTCTGCTACTTGCTGTCGAGCACTTCGTGGACAGCGGCTGTTTAGAGTAGTAGCTTCCTGCTGTGGCCCAGAGCCACACAAGAGAACCAGAGCAGTAACACTGTGGTCTGGACACTAAACAATGAGCTGAAGGTCACTGTAAAGCTCTGTGGAGCCGAGGGCAGCTGCACATTCAGCTGATCAGTCTCTGCAGGTTTGTCAGTACCAGAGACACCTGAACATTAAACACTGTTTTCATATTGTTGTTTCACACACTGGTATAAAAATATAGATTGGAGCCACTTCAAATAGTGAAATCAAAGCAGGAGAGAGAAAGCAGAGCTACAGCGCTACTTACAGCTGTCGCTGTGGTCAGTTCAGAAGCTGTGGTCTGAAGTGTAGTTGCTGTTGTAGGGCTCGTGGTCATTGTTCTGGTCGTGGTTGTAGCTGCAGGAATTGTACTGGCTGTGGTGGTGGTTGGAGTGGTTTGGATGGAATTGGTCATGGTTGTGGTTGGAGGGGGAGCTGTAATAGCCGATGTAGTTGTGGTGGTCGGAGGAGCTGTAATCGCTGTAGTTGTGGTTACAGGAGTGGCGACGGGTTCGGTTGTAGTTACAGGCATTGTTACAGCAGTGGGGATGGGTTCGGTTATAGTTGCAGGTGTGGTTGTGGGTGGGGCTGTTGGAGCTGAAGTGGTGATGCTCCCTGTAGACATCACCCTGGCTGTTGGAGATGTGGGTGCAACAGTTGGAGTTGTGGTGCTTGCTGAAGTTTTTGGATGAACTCTGGAGACTGGAGGCAGCATCGAGGTGCCTGGGGATGGAGTTATGGAGGTCGTAGGCAGGGCATGATGAGTGGATGGTGTAGCCGTCTCCACGGCAGACGTCATATTTGCTATGGAAAGTACATGAGAGGTGGAGGGTGGTGAAGACGTGGTGTCAGATGGCACGACAGCAGATGTGGATCCAGCAAAAGCCGAGTCAGGAGAAGCGGCTGTGAAACCAGTTTTTCCTCCTGTGGTCACCTGGGATGAAACTGTGGTGGAAACCAGAGTATCTGCACTGGCTTCTGGTGACTCACGTCCAGTCCATGTGGTGGAACTCTGCCGGTACACAGATGTGGTGCTGGCGTCAGTCTTCAGTCCAGACGAACTCTCTGCAGATCGGTCAGTGGTAAACACAGCTGGACTGGACCAGGATATGCGGCTGCTGTTCAGAGCTGGAAGCTCCGTGACTGGAGTTGAAGCATCAGAATGAAAACCTGCTGTTACCGACCTCCTGGTCCGAGGCCTGGTCCCATCGTTTACATACATTGAAGTGCCACCAGTTATCGATGTGTGGGCGTGTAAGGTGGGGATCCATCTGGTGGTTCTGTGGGTTTTTACTGTGTTTGATAATTGCTCATTGATCACAGTTATGGCGGGACTTCTGATGGTGCTGCCCACAGGTTTATGTGTGGATGAATAAAAGATAGTGGAGACTGAAGTTGTGTCTGAAACATAAGGAGAACAGAACTTAAGTCATATGCAAAAAGATCATTTAACAAACATGCAGAACACACAAGAAAAAATGTAAGTATATGGTCACATCGTTTATTTAAGTAAAAATGTTTCACACCCATTTAGTTTAAATGAAGGGAACAAGCTGAAACATGTTGCTCTTTAGTCTACAAGTCTAAAGTCAGATTCTCACCTGTCTCAGGACATAAGGACGTGATCAGCTGATTCCCTCCTGAGTCCACATCATACCTCATCCACTTTGAAGTCTGTGGGTTTTCTGCGGCCACCACCCAGTATCCCAGTTTCTTCAGGTACATGTGTGTCTCAGCCAGTCCCAGCGTGCCCTCTGTGCCGTAGCAGCTCCACGCCAGCGCACTGCTGCAGTTGCTGAGCTTGGCGAGGCGGGTATGGCGTGGCAGGTGAGGTCTGGGATCAGCCCAGAGACACCTGGAGGACTGCGTGTGGATCAGCCTGGCTCCATCTATCCATCCCCAATGATGGGCGGGGTTAGTGACATCACAGCGGCCCAGGGTGACGACCTGACCTTGTGGTATGAGACACAAGCTCCTGGGGCTCAGCGTGATGAGGAAACCAGCTGAGGAGAGACAAGTTAACATCAGCACAGAGGGGTCAGGAGAAAACTGCTGCAAACAGGAGTCTGAGTTCAGCTGAGAGACACAACTCAAACGGTCAGACTGAAGCAAAGAGCTGAAAGGGGATGAGACGCTACCAAGGGGAGCTGCCGAGTCACACAGGTGCAGGGTGACATCTGGTTTTCACAGCGTAACGTTCTGTGCAGCGCCCGAAGCTAACAAGGAGGAGCTGTCAGACACCAGTGGAGGTCTACGGCTCAGACCAGTAAGGTGAACCTGGGTCTGGACTCACACACGTTATGTTTCTTTTACATTTTCAAAACCCACAAAACAACACTGAATTATTTTATGTTCATTCATAACTTCAACCCAAGTTGAGTTAGAGCTACAGTATGTAACTTAGCAGTACTAATCCCACTAAAACCTTTTATAAGCTGATGTCTCTGCTGCCAGTTCAATGAGTCTGGGTCCCAGGAGGCTTGGACAGCACCTCTCCACGTTAGGACACGTTTTAGAGCAACAACAATATTTGAAAATAAGTTACATTGCTAAACACAGTTGAAAATGATGCAAAATAAGTAAAAATCTACACAAAACAGCCACAAGAAGACACAAACCGACTCCTCTGTGAGTGTGTGTGTGTGTGGGGGGGGCATTGTCTCCTAATCCGTCTATGGGT